GGCGGACGGCGAGAGGATACGCGGAGTGGGAGGCATGAGAACGCGGCGGGAGGCGAGGAGACGGGTGGGAGGCGAGAGAACGCGGAGCGGACGGCGATTGATGACGCGGGTGGGAAGCGAGTGAGAACGCTGGCGGAAAGCGACAGAACGCGGGTGGCAGGCGAGAGAACGCGGGCGGAAAGGCGAGAGAACGCGGGCGGGAGGCGAAGAGACGCGGGCGGGAGGCGAGAGAACGCGGGTGGCGCAAGCGAGAGAACGCGGGCGGGGGTAAGCGAGAGAAGGCGGGCGGGAGGCGAGAGAACCGGCGGGAGGCCAGAGAGAACTGCAGGCGGGGAGCGGAAACGCGGGTGGGGAAGCGAGAGAACGCCGGGCGGGGAAGCGAGAGAAACGCGGAGCGGGAGCGCGACTCCGAGAACGCAGGCGGGATAGCGACAGAACGCGGGCGGGAGGCGACATCGGAGAACGCGGGCGGGAAGCGAGAGTTTGAGAACGCGGGTGGGAAGCCGAGGAGGAACGCAGGCGGAAGCGAGAGAACGCAGGCGGAGGCGAGTGTTGAGAACGCAGGCGCAGACGGCGACGAGAACGCGGTTGGGAGGCGAGAGAAACGCAGGCGGGAAGGGCCGAGTGGAGAACGCGGTGGTGAGGCGAGAGAACGCGGCGGGAAAGCGATGAGAACGCAGGCGGGAGGCGGAGAACGCGGAGTGGGAGGCGCAGGAGAACGCGGCGGTGCGAGGCGAGAGAACGCCGGGCGGGAAGCGGACAGAAACGCGGTGTGGGAGGCGAGAGACGCTGGTGCGAAGCGAAGAGAACGGGCGTGGGGAGCGAGAGAACGCGGGCGGAAAAGCGACAAGAACGCGGCGGGGGAGGCGAGAGAGAACGGGCGGGGAGGCGACGAGAACGCGGGTGGCGAGGCGACCGATAACGCGGGTTGGGAGGCGAGAGAACGCGGCGGGAAGCGACAAGAACGCGGGTGGGAGGCGAGGAACGCGGGGGGAAGCGAGAGACGCGGGTGGGAAGCGAGGAGCACGCAGGCGGGAGCCCGATGAGAACGCGGTGGGGAGGCGACGAGAACGGCTGGTGGAGGCGAGAGAACGCGGCGGGAAGCGACAGAACCGAACGCGGACGTGGGGAGGCGAGAGAACGCGAGGGTGGGAACGCGATTAGACGCGGAGCGGACGGCCGAGAGAACTTGGTCGGACGCGAGAAAACCCGCGGGCGGAAGGTGAGAGAACGCGAGTGGGAGGCGAGCGAGAACGCGGGCGGGAGGCGATAGAGAACGCCGGGGGCTGGGGAAGCGAGAGAACGCGGGCGGCGAAGCGAGGAGAGAACCGGTCCGGAAAGCGCGAGAACGCGGGCGGGAGGCGAGAGAACGCGGGCGGGAATGCAGAGAACGCGGAGTGGGGCGCTGAGAGAACGCAGGCGGAAGCGATAGAACTGCGGGCGGAAAGCGAGAGAACCGCTGGCGGAAAAGCCGATGAGAACGCGGGCGGGAGAGCGAGAGAACGCCGGGCGGAAGCGAGAGAACCGGGCCGGAAGCGATCGGAGAACGCCGAGCGACGAAGCCCGAGAGAACCGCGGGCGGGAAAGCCGAGAGAACGCGGGCGGGAGCGCGAGAGAACGCAGGGCGGGAAGCGAGAGCAACCGGGGTCGGGGAGGCGAGAGAACGCGGGCGGGAGCGAGGAGAACGCGGGCGGGAGGCGAGAGAACGCGGGCGGAAGCGAGCTGAGAAGAGAACGCGGGTGGAAGCCGAGAGAACGGCGGCGGGAAGCGAGAGAACGCAGGTGGGGGCGGACGAATGAACTGCAGGCAGCGGCGAGGAGAACGCGTGGGAGGCGACGCGTGAGAACGGCAGCTGGGCGGAAGCGAGGAACGCGGGCGGGAAGCGAGAGAACGCAGGCGGGGGCGAGGAGAACGGGGTGGGAGGCGAGGGAATGCGGGAGGCGGTGGAGAGGCGACGAGAACGCGGGTCTGGGAAGCCCGACAGAACGGCGGGCCGGAGGCGAGAGACGCGGCGTGGGAGGCGACGAGAACGCGGTGGCAAGCGATCGAGAACGCGGTACGCGGACGGGCGATTGAGGACGCGGTGGAGGCGAGAAGAAAACGCGGGCGGAAGCGATGAGAACGCAGGCAAGATAGAGAGGAGCGAGGAGAACGCAAAAAAGAGTGGGAGGCGAATATGAGAACGCGGAAGGCGGGAGCGACGAGACGCGAGATGCTGGAAGGCCAGATTGAAGAAAACGAAGGGCGTGAGAAGTGAGAAAAGAGAAACCAGGTGGGAAGCATAGAACAAGAGAACGACCAGATGATGAGCAGGCATAAGAAGAGAAACAGCAAGGAATTAATAAACAAACGGGACGGCCGAGGAGAACGCGGGTAAATTAAAAAAGACGCGAAGCGAAGAAGAACAGCGGAAAGTGAAGGAGACAAAAAGAAATAAAATGAGAGAAACGCGACAGTAGGGAATGGGTTGAGAGAGCGGAGGAACGGGAGTGGCTGAGGACAGAAAATGAAGAACGAGGAGTGAAGAGCGCACGAGAGAACAGCAGGAGAGAAGGAAGGCAGAAGAGACGCGGTGGGAGGCGAGAGACGCGGGCGGGAGGCAGAGAGAACAGCGGAGATGGGAGACGAAAGACAGAAACGCGAGACGGGTGGGAAGCGAGAGACGCGGGTGGAGGCGAGAGAACGCGGTGGGAGGCGAGAGAACGGGTGGGAGGCGCGACGTGAGAACGGGGCGGAAAGCGATAGGAGAACGCGGGTTGGGAGTCGAGGAACGCGGTCGGAATATCGAGATAACGGGCCCTCCTTCGGACGGCGACGAGAACGCGGGCGAAGCGATGAGAACGCAGGCGGGAGGGCGAGAGAAACGCGGGCGGGAGCGAGAGAACGCGGCGGGAGGCGAGATAACGCGGGCGGGAAGCGAGTGAGAACGCGGGTGGGAGCGCGGAGAGAACGCGGGGGTGGGAGTGCAGAGAGATATGCCGGGCTGGGCGGACGGCGGAGAGAACGCGGCGGGGAAGCGAGAGAACGCTGTGGGGAGGGCAGAGAACGGGTTCGAGGAAAGCGAGAGAACTGCGGGCCTGGGAAGCGATGAGAACGCACGGGCGGGAGCGAGAGAACGCGGGTGGAGGGAGGAGACGGCGGCGCGGGCAGGCGAGGAACGCGGCGCGGGGGGCGAAGAAGCGTGTCTGGATGGCGATAAGAACGCGGGTGGGAGGCGAGAGAACGCGGGCGGGAGGCGAGAGAACGCGGGCCGGGAGGCGAGAGTACGCGGGTTGGGAGGCGAGAGAACGCGGGTTGGGAGGCCGAGAGGACGCGGGAGTGGGAGAGCGAAACGAGAACGGTGTCGGAGGCGATAAAGAAGCGGTGTGGGGAGGCGACGAGACGCGTGGGAGGAGGCGAGAGAACTGCGGGTGGGAGGCGAGAGAACCGCGGGCTTGGGAGGGAGGAACGCGGGGCGGGAGGCGTGAGAGACGCGTGTCGAGGCGAAAGAACGCGGCTGCTTGGGACGCCGACGGAACGCGTGTCGGGCGCGAATAGAACCGGAAGCGGGAGGCGAGAGAACGCCGCGGAAAGCGACCCCTGGTGAGACGCGGCTGCGGGAGGCGAGACGAACGCGGGCGGAGGCGACGGAGAGAACGCGTGTCGGCAAGGCGATTCAAGAACGCGGGCGGGAGCCGAAAGAACGCGAGTGGGAGCGATGAGAACGCGTGTCGGAGCGCGAAAGAAACGCGGGCTGGGAGGCGACGAGAACGCCGGGTGGGAGCGAGGAGAATGCGGGCGGGAGTCGAGGAGAACGGCGGCCGGGTGGGAGGCGCATGGATGAACGCGCGGTGGGGAAGCGACGTAGAGAACGCCGGGTGGGAGGCGAGAGAACGCGGGTCTGAGACGAGAGAACGTGGGTCGGAGGCGAGAGAACGCGGGCGGAAAGCGAGAGAATGCAGGCGGACGACGAGAGAGCGCGGGCGGAAAGCGAGAGAACGTGGGCGGAAGGTGAGAGAACGCGGGCGGACGGCGAGAGAACGCGGGCGGAGAGCGAGAGAACGTGGGCGGAAGGCGAGAGAACGCGGGCGCACGGCGAGAGAACGCGGGTGGGAGGCGAGAGAACGCGGGTGGGAGGCGAGAGAACGCGGGCGGGAAGCGAGAGAACGCGGGTGGGAGGCGAGAGAACGCGGGTGGGAGGCGAGAGAACGCGGGCGGGAAGCGAGAGAACGCGGGCGAGAAGCGAGAGAACGCGGGTGGGAGGCGAGAGAATGCAGGTGGGAGGCGAGAAAACGTGGGCGGAAGGCGAGAGAACGCGGGCGGACGGCGAGAGAACGCGGGTGGGAGGCGAGAGAACGCGGGTGGGAGGCGAGAGAACGCGGGCGGGAAGCGAGAGAACGCGGGTGGGAGGCGAGAAAACGCGGGCGGACGGCGAGAGAACGCGGGCGGAAAGCGAGAGAACGCGAGTGGGAGGCGAGAGAACGCGGGTGGGAGGCGAGAGAACGCGGGCGGGAAGCGAGAGAACGCGGGTGGGAGGCGAGAAAACGTGGGCGGAAGGCGAGAGAACGCGGGTGGGAGGCGAGAGAACGCAGGTGGGAACCGAGAGAACGCGGGCGGAAAGCGAGAGAACGCGGGTGGGAGGCGAGAGAACGCGGGTCGGAGGCGAGAGAACACAGGCGGACGGCGAGAGAACGCGCGCGGAAGGCAAGAGAACGCGGGCGGAAGAGCGGTCGAGAGGCAGGAGCGGGGTCGCGCGCTGGGGAGAGAATTATGTAGGTCTGTGAGTGTGTAATATAAGCG